CCCCAAAACCCCAAAACCCCGCAAGGTAAATTAGTAGAGTTAATTTAGAATGAAAAGATTTAAAATAAGAATATTAAAAATTAGACTTTGAAATAGCCAAAATATGAATATAAATAACATCAGTAGAATCAGTTAGTCACCTATGAAATATCAATTACCTGATAAGTAAAACTCCTCTGATGAGTTCAACCTAACTTAAACGAACAAAAATGAATCTATATCTGAACTTTAGATAGTTCAAAATAGGAAAATCGGCGGCATGACCTCGTAGCTGAAATTGGTATTCTTTGAAAAAATACAATAACCCTCAATATAATTAATTAGGAAGTTATAAGGGATGGTAAAGATTTCTTGAAAGATGCCAAAAGAAACAGCAATGCGCAACTTTAATCTTCCACAAGTATTTTGAATTTCTAAACCTATTAAATATAGTGTCAAAGGATTTTAACGTTTCTCAATCTATGTCTCTAGGCTCAAGAGTTAATCCAAGATAATCAGATGAATCCTTGCAGAAAAGAAGGAATTCTGCATTTATTAAGATTAATGAGCGAAGTAGTAATGACTCTCAAGAGAAATCAATGGTAAAGAGAATAAGCAGATCTCAAACTCTCATCAACATTGATATCTAAAATGGAGATCCAGGAGGAAGCGAAATATATGATTAAAGAACAAGGTAAAAAAGAAAATCATTGGTAAGAAAATCAAGTAACGACGAATTTGAATATATCGAAGAAGAGAGAATTTCTAACGAAAGAGAAGTTAAGGGCATATTTAGATTGAATGATCCAAGAACTTCTCGCTGGGATATGTTAATCATCATCCTTTCTTTTTATAATTGCTTTTCGATTCCCTTTTAAACAGCTTTTGATCCTCCAGTTATGGATAGCTTTTATTTTCTAATATTCAATACTGTGATAGATTTTTGTTTTTTCATGGATATAATTGTGACATTCAGAACAACTTATTATGATCCAATATCAGGTGATGAAGTATTTGACAAGTATTTAATAGCAAAGAAGTATCTAACTGGTAGGTTTATTATCGACTTCCTTTCTACTGTCCCATTCGATAATATAGCAAAGGTATTCTATTAATAATTAATTTATTTAGATATTCACAGATCAGCAAACTAACATATTAGCTATTTTTAGCATGCTAAAGTTGATAAGAGTAACAAGGTTAGGAAGAATGATAGCAAAGCTTAATCTTAAAGAACATCTAAAATTAGTAATATTTTTATGACGTTTTACAAATTTAGTCTTTGAGATTATTTCAAATGATATTTTTCATCATACTCTATCTTCATTGCCTTGGATGTGTTTGGTTTTTAATTGTTAACACTGATTAGAAATGGGTTCCTCCATTAGACCAAAATTAGGGCTACGAAAATTTCTACGATGATTCTATTTTCAGATAATATTGGGTATCAGTTTACCATGCTGTACTAATGCTTACAGGCAATGATATTATACCTGATGGAGATTTTTAAATAGCTTTTGTTGCTTTATCAATTGCACTCGGAGCTATAGTGAACGCTAATATATTCGGTAGTATGGCAATTATACTATCTGTTTTAAACAGGAAAACTGCTGAATTTTAAAACTAAATTGATATTGCTAATACTGCTATGAAGAATATGAAATTGCCTGAAGATATCCAAAGGAAAATTATTAATTATCTTCAATACACTCAATCAACATTAGCACACTAAGAAGAGCTTGATAAATTTTTTGAAATGTTATCCCCAAGTCTAAAAAATGAAGTAACAAGATTTATCTTCCAAACTGTTATAAATAAGAACGAAATCTTTTCATATAAAGAGAGTTTAGTTGATTTTATAGTTTATAAGATTGAGCTTGAAATGTAACTTCCTGAATAAATGGTCATTCAGTAAGGTGAAAAGGCATTAGCTTTTTTCTTTTTAGCTAAAGGAGATTGTGAAATATTCGTTAAAGATGAAAGAAATAGAGAAAAGTATGTAAAGACAATAAATCCTGGCGCATACTTTGGTGAAATTGCATTGATTACTTCTCAAAGAAGATCTGCTACTGTCACTACAAAAAACTATACAACTATTGGATCAATTACAGTTGAAACTTTTCATGAGATGTGCTATTTATTCCCTGATGTTTATTTGAAAATTAAAGCAAATATGAAAAAATATTAAGATAGATATAAAGTTTGGTAAAAATTTCAACTTAGAAAGTTAAGTTTTCTCTCAGATTTGAGCTTTGACACTCTAGAAGAACTTTCATATTCACTAAAATAGGAATATTACTAGTCTAGTTAAGTGATATTTAAAATAGGTCAGGTTGTTGATAAAATGTATATTCTCGTAAGTGGGGAGTTAGAAATTTATGTGAGCTTCAGAAACTAGGAAGTTATTCTTGATACTATTACAATTACTGGAAGCTATCTAGCTTAATTAAGTTTTTTAAATCGCTAAAAAATTACTTATTATGCGAGAGCAAAGTCTGATGTAACTATGCTTTCCTTGACATCAGATGTCTTTGATTAGTTAAGATAAAATATTAATGATCTAGACGAGAGCACATTGAAAGAATTAGAGAAGATAGAAAAATAGGGCTTGCCCATTCTTGATTATTAGAAGGAATATAAAAAGAACCAGAAGAGTAACCCAATAGAAATATTTAAAGGCTGTGTCCGAAGAGTGCAAAGTCTTCATAAATATCATAAGAAAAAGGATACAAAACTTTCAGGCTTAATGAATCAAATGGTCATGAGAAAACTTGAAGAAGAAAGAAAAAGAGAAAAATAGCGAGATTCTCTACTTTAATCTATATAACCAGTGTTAAACTCAAAGATAAGTAAACTCATTACAGATAAAATTGAGAAAATGACAAAAGTTCTTGAACTTTAGAATATGAAATTAAGCTAAATAACTAATTGCTTTGAAGTCATAAAGCCACGTGCATATGTAACTAGCTACACATAAGGACAGGAAATTATGGTGGAAAATTAACCTTTTAATGATGAGTTTAAGAAGAGTGTCAATCCTTAGAGCACTGATAACAATCATCATTAATGGAGCAACTCAATTTTGGAAAGTTCTAATGGTTCTATATAAAGTGCTTCTCATATTAATAAAGAGTAGATAGTCACACCAAATATTCTGGGTCATAAAAATGACTCAATAATATCAGCTAAATACAGTTAAAATTCAATAGTTTCTGATTGATGACCTTTAATTATTTAATCTTGATTCAATAACTATGAAGTTATATCTCTCATGGGGTTTTGGGGTTTTGGGGTTTTGGGG